GAGGTTGGTAGGATGAGACGGAGAGGGAATGGAGGGGCGAGAGAGGAAAATGGTGAGGAAAAGGAAAGGAGGAAGGGAGAGAGGAGCGGATGAGGGTAAAGGAAAGAGGAAAATGGTGAGGGGAAAGAAGGCAGGGAAATGGTGAGGAAAAGGAAAAGAGGAAGGGAGAGAGGAGCGGATGGGGGTAAAGGAGAGAGGAAAAGGGTGAGGGGAAGGGAGGGAAAGAGTGATTCAGAGGGAAAAGAGAGGTGGAGAGGGAATGAGGACAGAGAGAGAGAAAAGGGGTGGGGGGAAGAAGAGGAGAGAGAGAGAGGAGGGAGGGAGGGAGTCGGGGCGCCTGCCAGCCACAGTCCCAGGAATTCTGAGCTCGCAGGCCGGGCCTTCGCCCCGAGCGCGCCTTGGCTCCCGAAGGAGGCCCCGGGCAACGCACCGGGCGCTCTCCTGTCAGGCCGACGCGATCCGCCGAGGGAATTCGGAATGTGTGTGTGTGTGTGCGTGTGTGTATGTCTGTGTGTTTGCACGTGTCCGTGTGTTTGCGTGTGTGTCTGTGTGTGTGCGTGTGTCTGTGCGTGTGCGCGTGACGGACACTCACCGGATACTAGCTGTCGGGTCTAAGTATTTCTTCCCTCAAGGCAAGCAAGCAGTGTCAGTTCCTCATGATATTTTCCAGAAGGAAGCGCTTGCTCCGAAGTAACCCGACCCCCCTCCCGCTCCCCTTCCCCCCTCCCCTCTCCCTTCCCCTCCCCCTCTCCCTTCCCCCCCTCCCCCTCTCCCTTCCTCCCTCTCCCCTTCCCAGTGCACGCGCAGCGAAAAGGAGAATCGCTCACTTTCGCGCATCCGCTGTCCTTTGCACTCGCTAGTGTGTGCGTGTGTGTGTATTATGTCAATATGTATATATATATTTATATATTATATATGTATGTATATATATATATGTATATATGTATGTATGTAATATATATATAATATATATATATATATATATATAAGTTATTATATATAATATATATATATGTATATATATATGTATATATAGTATATATATATATATATATATATATATATGTGTGTGTGTGTGTGTGTGTGTGTGTGTGTGTGTGTGTGTGTGTGTGTGTGTGTGTGTGTGTGTGTGTGTGTGTGTGTACATGCATACATACATACACACATCCATGTACATATCCACACATAGAGAGGGAGAGGGAGAGGGAGAGGGAGAGGGAGAGGGAGAGGGAGAGGGAGGGGAGAGAGGAGAGGGAGAGGGAGAGGGAGAGAGAGAGAGAGAGAGAGAGAGAGAGAGAGAGAGAGAGAGAGAGAGAGAGAGAGAGAGAGAGAGAGAGAGAGAGAGAGAGAGAGAGAAGAAGAGAGAAGGGGGGGAGGGAGAGGGAGAGAGAGTGGGAAGTAGGAGATGGAGAATTAGGGAGAGAGATAGAGACAGAGACAGAGACAGAAAAAGACAATGAGAATCACATCCACACATCCACCTGCGTACCGACAGACCCGCCCCCGCCTCCGTGGCGCGTGGGGCCGCTCGCCCGCCGGGATCCTCGCCTCGCGGACCCTCCCCCGGGCTCGCGGGCGTCCTGCATAAAGAACCCTCGTATCTGTCTCCCATCTTCGCTTTATTTTGGCCACTTCCTTCGATATATCCCCTCCCCTTCCCTCTATTTTCCTGCTCAGGGAATGTACAGGGAACAAAACACCGCAAATTGTTCACCCGGAACCCTTCTCGTACCTTGGATACTTACATACACGCATACGCACACACATGCATCTACATATATATATATATATATATATATATATATATATATATATATATATATACACACACATACATATATACATATATGTACTTATACATACATACATACATATATATATATATATATATATATATATATATACATACATATACATATACATATATACATATAGGTATATACATATAGATATATACATAGAGATATAAGAAAATGAAAAAAAAAGAAAAGAGAGAGAGAGAGAGAGAGCGAGAGAGAGAGAGAGAGAGAGAGAGAGAGAGAGAGAGAGAGAGAGAGAGAGAGAGAGAGAGAGAGAGAGAGAGAGAGAGAGAGAGAGAGAGAGGAGAGAGAGGAAATGGGGCGGTATTAAAAAAGTTGATTACGATGCGACAAATTTAACCCTTTCCTTCTAACACATGTCTTATTCGAGGCGGAACACGCTGGAATATCCCTTATGGTCGGAAATCTCGGATGATCATACGTGCTAACGTCTTTCCGCAATTTTGGAAAGATATTGGCGACTTCCTGTTGCCTGCATTTACTGCCATCAGTTAC